GCTTAGAGAGGGCTGAAAAGCACTATGAAGCAGTATGTAAGTGCTGTTGCTATTGCTAAAAATAAACAATAAAAGTACAACTATACGAATTAAAAGATGGGTGGGGTGGTGGTGAAGAAAGCATAGGTGGAAGATGGGGTCAGCTAATCAGTGTGGTAGCCACCTCTAGACTTTCTAGAGACTGTTATACTTTCAAAGCAATTCCAGAGTTACCCAAAACAATTTGAAAACCATTTTATACATCCTTTAGTTCTAATAATCCACAATGTTTCAAGTCACAACCACAAATCAAAGTGACTACACTATTGGATTTACATAGTTTGTAATAATAAAGAATTGCATGACTGTAATAAATGATAGAAATTCAAAGAAAGCCTTACCAGGTCATTGCCAAAAACTGCAAAATGCAGAACAGCAGGGCTAATCCTTTCTTTTGCCACTAAGAAAATGAGGAAAAGAACGTGTTGAATTTGATGGTATTTTAGGAACAAAATATGGACCTTGTATTTCTGATTGATAATTAAGTGAAGCAGAAGGCCACATAATTTCACTTTTCTATTAGAGGGAATAAACAATATTAAGGTCACTCATGCATGCAGCCTTAAATGACATAATATCACTCAATCTACGCCTATTTAATAGAATAAAAAACTGGGAAAATTTACATTTGTGTAATATATTAACTGGGAAAAATTTACATGGGTAAAATATATTAAGCTAGACAAAGTAAATCTTAAATAAGACACTAACTACAGCATCCAAATCAAGTAAATCCATGTGGAAAAGTACAAAAAGTTTGATTAATACTACTTACCCAAAATGCAGCAAAAAGCGTGAGGATCAAAGAAAGCTGCCCAAGACAAAACAAGAACGAGATCAATGCATATATAAGTCGGATAGGGTTTGCAGTATTGTTAGTCCTCGAGCTACAACTGCAGTTGGGATCAGAATTTCTGTTGCTAAGTGATATAGTCATAAATTGTTAACATCTGATGACTGCATCGCTTAGCCCTGTAGTTTTCACTGCCCCTGTTAAGTGAGGATAGTGGGGCATTAAGTGAGCACCTCCTTGCAGCTTCCTGTTGGCTTTCAACAATCAGTCTTTGGGAAGCTGGCAGAAATTTCCAAATCCCTGGCAGTTTGTAAGGAAACCAACAAATGACTTTGCTTATGGGAAGCTGCCAGGGAAAGTCACAAATCCTGATCATGTGACCACAGGATGCTGCAACCATTGTAAGTGCAAGCCAGTTGTCACCATGTAGCTACCTATGTGGTGGAAATGGCTAGAATGTTGAGAACCAATCATAACCCCTGCTCATACAACGCCGGAACATTTGTTGTACAAGTGGTTGTTAAACTTGTGTTCCTGTATTGTCCTAGAACCTACAAAAGATTCACTGCAATTCTCAGGAAGTTTTGCTACTGATCAGTAACTCTAGCTCATCATCCGGAGAAATTTCCTGAAAGGGAAAATACATATCAACCACAAAAGATATTACTTGATGAATCAAGTAAGACCAGTCATTCTGCTAATGTTAAGGTAATGGAACTGATAAACCCTTTCGAATTATCAGTATGCAACCAGAAGCATCGGAAGGGAGAAGGGACAAGCGGGCAAGTGACAAAACATGCAGTGCAGTCCACTGCTTAAGTATTTGAGTGCAACATGTTTTGTAATTTTGGTGACATTGTATTTATGAACGGACACTGATATCTAGAACTTATAAAGTTTCTTTTCTTGATTTTAAACAAGCATAACTTACCAGCATAACAATTGTTACAATTAACCTTGTTGGTTCAAACATCTTTTTCAGCTGTTTCACTGGACCCATCAAGAAGCAAGTACTAGTGTGGGGGAAAAAATAGGAATTAAAAAAAATCTTCTGTCGTGGCTATAGGCTAGGGTCACCCAGTCCCTTTGTGTCCATTTATGACTATGACAATTGATAGAACCCAATGTTTCTCCTTCATTCCACTCTATATAGCCTGTCCAGCTCTGGATGAAAATTATACAGAGCAAATGTTGAGAGTATATTCAGGCGATGGGGAGAGAAACTGTTCCCTCCCAATATATGAGTTGAAATTACATTTATTAATTAAAACGTACAGTTGTGTCCTGTCTGCTATTCTTTTTTACATCTGGTAATTGTACAGAATAAATTTCAAAAGAGCCCAGTGCTATATACAGAGAATTATTTGCACTTTGCAAGTAATGTTGAAACATATCAATCTCATAAAAAAGAAAAGACTACAAAAAGATGATACCTGGCTAAAGCAGCAATATTTCCCAAGGTATAGAACACTGCAAAGAGTTTTAGTCCACCTGGAAGCCAGAGCAATCCTGTCCCCTGCATATATACAATTAAAGAAGCCAACCATGAAGATATTTATAGTTTTATCAAACCAGAAATCAAGACAAATTATTGGAGCATTATACTTTTCTAATAACTGAATATCCTGGGTCACCAAGTGTTGTTAAGTCTTGGTGGACAACAAATGAAACCAATCTTTATTGAAAAGAACTAAAAAAAAATTAATGTATTAAGTCCAATTTACAAAATACAGGTAGTTCTCAACTTACGACCACAATTGAGCCAAAAATTTCCATTGCTAAACAAGACAATGATTGAGTTTCGTCCAATTTTGTGCCCGACTTCTTGCCACAGTTGTTAAGTGAATTACTACAATTGTTAAATTAGTAACGTCGGGCTTCCCCATTGACTTTGCTTGTCAGAAGGTTGGAAAAGATGATTGCATAACCTCAGAACACTGCAATCGTCATAAATGCATGCCAGTTGCCAAGTGACTGAATTTTGATCACATGGCCATGGGCATCCTGCAATGGTTGTAAGTGTGAAAAATGATGTCACTTTTTTCAGTGCCATTGCAAGTTGGAATGGTCACTAAATGAATGGTTATAAGTTGGGGACTACCTGTATATACAAATTGTTCTCATTGTAATTCATGATTTTGAGAGAGAGATGGATTTCAATAGATCGGAAATTGAAAAGAATGCCCTGTATGTATAGAAACAGAAATATTGTAGAGAACAAGGTTTCTAACACACATATCCACAATCAATTAAATCTTAAAACTATGTCTGACTGAAATTGATTCCTGTGCCTTAAAGATAACCTGAATCCTGAAGCAAAGTCCTCTGCTCCTTTGTCCCTGAACCTCTGTCAGTCTCTGGGGATAATTCCAGCCATTAATCAGAGCTGTTAGATTAAAGTACACCCAAACTCAAGCACTGTTATCTTCTCCGCTTCCCCAGAGTTTGCTTTTGTTGTTAAAAAAAACAAAAGCTTTCCCCCCAAAGCTGCAAGAAGATCAGGAGCATTGGCCTTTGGTTAATGGCACAGAAGCCAGCCTCTCCCAATGGTGCATTTGAGTGAGATGAAGGAATATGTAGCCAAAGTCACAAACTGTTTGGCTTTAGACTGGAAAGAAAACAGTAGCATGGTGACTAGATTAAAAACATTGCATAAACACAAACTGAGGGAATAATAAATACAGAGTCTAATTACAAAAAAATAAATAAAAGCAGAGACTAGTTACTGTACAGCAGTTTAAGAGGAAGAAAGCAGCAGCACCATTCTGAAAAGGTCTGCTATCCAGTATTATATGGAATACTAAGAGGTGATCAAATCAGTTTCTGTAGCTTGACTGATGAAATCAAGGTTAGGTCTGCTGCAGATAATTCTATTTAAGAATAATTTGTATACATATACACACACAAAAATTATACATACATACATACATACATACATACATACATATCTGTAACTTTTACATATGCTTTCCCTAACCCATATGCTCTTCAAACATATTGGCCTATAATCTTTGGCATCCCCAAACCACCATAAATGGCATTATGTAAGATTTGATTTGTGATCCAATACATGTAGAGATCTTGAAGGCTGCCCTGTAAGGTTAGAAATGTTCTCTTCTGACTGCTTTGTACATAAATGATATCCGACACACAGAAAATCTGCATCCTGGGAGAAGCTAGTATTTCGATGTGGCAAAGTACTAGAGGCTACACTGCGTACTTTTTTCTAATGTATTGACCAATCATTCGATACCAACTCCATATAGCAATACAACATTTGTCCAAGAACAGAGATTAAATATTTTTTTATGTGTTTTGTGAAATATTTACTTACAAGGAGAGAACACAAAATGCCGCTTATAAAACATATTGCAAACCATTTCACGCGAGTATTAAAACTCAAGGATGATCCATCAAGGACCTATGGGTGAAGAAAAAAAGAAATCAAGATTTTAATAGGACGGAAATTTTTAGTAATAAAACATTACCAATGCAAACATTAAAATGCTCAAATAACTGTAAAAGGTAGATGCTCTTAAAACCTCAAATATTCTTCCACTTCACAAATTGATTTTAAAAATATACACTAACTTTATATGTAAATATTTATTAATTTTTCCAAAGACAAGTTTGCATGCTCACTTTAAAAGCCTAAAAAAATTAAATGAAGAATGAATCCTGGCAGATTAACAAATATGTTAATTATGTAAAATAAATGAAGTAACAACCACTAGAGATTATATATTTCTATTTGATTTACTATAGTACGATGAATAAAATACAGACTAACAGATTTAGAATGTTATTTATTGGTGATAAAAGTTCTTTTTCACATTTCCATTTTTAAAAATTATTCATTATAAACATTAAGAACAAATGAATGATAACATAGTATTTAGGCAGGCACCACTTTCAAGCATGTAATTTGTTTTTCAAATAATTCTTTTGATATATTTAAGAATATACATATAGAAATTAAATAGAAAAAAGGATATTCTAAAATTATACACACGTCATATATGTATACACCTCAATCAAGTTATTCACTTGATAGCTGTATATATAAAATACAAATCAGAACAAACATTTAATTCCATTATTAAACTAAGTACAAGTGATCAAAATTTAATCTTTACTTTACTTTCATTGAGCATATGTGAATGCCATTACTTGCGTGATGATTATATATTATACTGTGAATATACTGTATATTATTATTATTATTATCATCATCATCATCATCATCATCATACTACTACAAAATATCTAAGGACTTTAGAAGAAAAAATACACAAATAATACACATTCAACAAAAACATACAAATAAATTATCCATAATGTAATAAAAAGTAATGAAATTCATCAAACAACCAAATTAATATTGAATCAAGGCCAAAATGCCTTTCAGTCAAATTCTGCATCAGTTGCTTTAAAAAGATCCTTCCACTTGATGGATCAACAGCTGGCCTAGCAGCTTAAGCTGGAAACCCACTCCATCCGCAGCCATGGCCACGAACCCTAACCCTAATCCTAACAATCAGGTAGGTGTAATTAATAAAACTTTCTCTGTGATTTGCGAGACAGCAATTCCTAAAACCAGATCTTAATGCTCAAGAACACAAGCAGACACTTACATACAATTTTCAAAAATGTTGCAGTGACTAAAGGCAAATGATTAGATGTGGTTCCCCTTATCCATAGTAATGAATGGGAAGTTTCAAACTGTAATAGTATACAACTTACCTTTTCCAGTCCAAATCTTTATCCTTATATAGGCAGCACAGAGAAAATAATATTAAAAATTTAACAAATGTTCATATAGGAAAGCTGTTCTTCCCTGAAAAAGGTCTACACATTTCTTAATGTTTAGATATTAAATATATATTTAAATAAATAAAATAAATATATCTAAGAAAATGCCCCCCTCCCTAGTCCCCTCCAATGCAAATCAGGAGATTATGGACTGAGGGAACAAATATTTACTTAATTATAGGAGGGAAGATAATTGCTACAACATAGTTTAGAGTACAGTACTAAATTGGACAGCTCTGGGCTCACATGACATCCTGAAGTTCAAAAATGAACTAATTAAACATATTATGCAAACAAACTCACAAAAAACCCCACTCTGTGGTTGCTCTGAAAAAAACCCATGTTGGAAAAATTAAGAAAGAATTGAATACAAAACTGGTATTACCAAAATGCCTTTGCATAAATTTTTATTGTAGCCAAACATTTGGAATATTATGCTATATAAAGTTCTGGTCACAGCAACTCAAAAGCAATATTGCAGAATTTTAAAAGGAATAGAAAACAGGAAAGCAGTGACAGAAATACAACAGCTCCCTGAAGGAAAATTGAAACTGAACCAGCTTAAAAACATACAAGAGGGGCATGATAGAAATGTATAAAATATTCATGATATGAAGAACTCCCCCCCACTTTTTTCAAGTATTGGACCTCAAAGCTTTCCAATACAATTGAATGATAACAATTAGAAAATATAAATGAAAGTTCTTTGCATTGCACTTAAAACTAAAGATCTCATGATCATAAGATAATGCTAATAACATTTATCGAGATCAAGATTTTTAATTGATGTAAAATATCTGTCAATATGAATTACTGAGGAATGTGAATATCAGGATACTATTACCTCCATATTTAAGAGGATGGGCCCAAATGAATTAATTTTTATGTTTACATTATGCCTTTCTTCCATGACACTCAATTCTCCCATCAACACATGTAAAGGATTCCTATGTTGGCTCTCTCTGATGGCATTTTTGAATATTTGAGTATTTTAATTCAATCAGCCCTGTTTAATTCTAGAGGCCTCTAGGGGGAAGGGACACTTACATTAAAGTTACTAATTCTTGGTAAACACCATGCATCATTTATATTATTGTTTATACTTTAATTCAGAAATAGGCAGAAAGGCAGGATGGAGCTTGCTACTAGGAAAAGATGTTGGGCACTGATAGGTGGCAAAGAAAATGTTATTTGAAGCTGTTCTTATCTTCAAAAGAGGGAAAAGACTAACTACAAATCCAATAAGGTTGGCAATGGACAAAACTGTGGAATAGATTAAGCAATCAATTTGTGAATATTTAGAAAGCAATGCATGACAGGAGGAAGCATTAATTTATCAAAAATAAATAACTCCACTTGAACTCCATTTTTGATAAACAGTCGGTTGATCACAGGAATGCAGTGGACATGGTTGTCTACAAAAATTTTCATGGAATTTTAATAGAAAAAATACTAGTCAGTTGATCACAGGAATGCAGTGGACATGGTTGTCTGCAAAATTTCTCATGGAATTTTAATAGAAAAAATATCAAAATATAGGCTGGACCATGCTATCTTATTTTCCCATTCAGCTGTGTCTGATTCTTGGAGATTGCCTGGACAAGTCCAGAAATTTTCTTGGCAAGGCTTTTCAGAAGTGGCTTTCCCTTACCGCCCCGAGATTGAGAAAAAGTGATTAGCCCAAGATTGCCCAAATGGCTTTATGTCCAAACAAGGATTAAAACTCAGTCTCCTGGTTTCTAACCTGATGTCTTAACAACTCCACCAGACTGGCTCTTCATGTTATCATTAGGTGGATACAAAGCTGTTTGAGTAATCATATCCATTAAGTGCTTGTGAATGGAAGTGATGACTGCAGGGTTATAATCTGTGCAATATTGAATAGCATATGTTGTGGGGAGCTATGTCAGGTAGCAGCGCATGATCAAAAGATGAACAGGAACCAGCACTGTGATACAGTTGCAAAAATGCAATCCATATCTACATTAAATAAGTACAGTGGCAAGACCAAGATAAGCCATTGTTCCCCTATTTGTGATGGCCATGCTGCATCTAGAATGTTGTATCAAACTCTGGGTACTGTATTTAGGAAAAATGATAGCAAACAGCTATGCATGCAGGAGATAGTAGTCCAGATGATAAGGGGCCTGAAAGGTTAAGTTTACCAGAAATGGTTGTGAGCATTTGGTACTTTTAGCTAGAAGAAGAGAAATGTCTAGTGAAACTTGATAGTTAACTTCAGGTTTTGGAAGAACTCACATGTGAAATATGGGTAACATTGTTCAGTCATCCCAGATACCAGGACAAAAAACAATGTATTTACAGTACACAAGGAAGTACATTTCATTACAATATCAGTAAAAATGTTTTTGACCAGAACAGCTGTTCAACAATAGAACTGATTGCCTTGTGATTAATCAGAGGCTGAATACAGATCTATCAAAAGATGTACTGCACTTTCTGAAGTATTTAATTTCAGCGCCATATATCACAGCAGAAACTCATCAGACTGACATCGACTTTCCAAGGTTTCCCATGGCTGCCTTTCCCAAAAATGCTTGGGAGGCCTAAAAACCTGATAAGCCCCGAAGCCAAAGCAGAGACCTACCATTCTGCTCATGGCCTTCTGAACAGAACCAATCTACATGATAAAAAGCTGACAACAGATTCACCCAGACCCACCACCCTCTGTATCTGCTGCCATAATGGAAAGAACATTTTTGAAGCTGAACACAAAAGCTGTTACAATTTGCACATCTTTCCCTTTTGTTTGCTAAAATAACACGTTCTCATTTTCACACAGCAGGCAATAACTTTCATAAAACACCTCCGACTTCGTTTTAATCAACCTTTTTTTAGCCCTATTGGGGTTTTTTTTTTGGTCCTTGCTGGCATTCAAATGGGTAAAAGCAGTTATGGCAGGAGGAGCAAAGAGCCCCTTTTATCCAGCTAATTCAGAGGAGCCTAGAAGAGATGGAGCGTTTCCTAGCCTAGCGTTTCCCCTGTACAAATACCATACTCCGCACTGAGACGACCCCACCTGCAGGGGATGATGGGGCCTATGATCCAGGGAATCTTGGATCTGGCCAAGAGGATAGACTCCATACGCAGCGGTGCCGTCCGTATTGCTCGCAACTGATCCTCCATTTGCGTTCGCGAGTTGCTTGCACTCTAGTAATGATAGGCAGGAATAGCAACGCTGTGTCGGTCCTGAGGAAGCGGGTCAATCCCGCCAGGGCGCCCCGAAAACCCGGCCAGAAACCTCGGAGGTAAATATTAAGGGGCTCTCTCGCCTATTCCCCCACCCCGAGCCCCAAGCCATACCTGCGCTGTCAGGCCCTGCTCCTCGTCGTCGTCTCCTCTCAACACCCGCCGCAGCTTCTCCATCGCCGCGACACAGCACCCGCCGCGCCTCTGATCCCTTCCGAAAGCAACCCTCCCCCAAACCCCGCCGAGCCTGAGCGCTTTGGTTGGAACCGCTCCTCTCCCCTCGAAGGAGGCGTCAAAACGGAAGCTGGAGAACGGAACCGGAAGTCATGGGGAGGAGCCGGGGAACATTCCTGTAAATGGACTGGCTGGCCCCCTTTCTGATTGCTGATGAATGTGCTTTCTGGTTTCTCCTAGGACAGTGTTTCCCAACTTTGGCAGCTTGAAGATGTCCGGACTTCAACTCCCAGAATTCCCTAGCCAGCATTCGCATTCGCTGGCTGGGGAATTCTGGGAGTTGAAGTCCGGACATCTTTAAGCGGCCAAGGCTGGGAAACACTGTCCTGGGATAGGCTGTTAGTCCCGCTCCCCGTATATGCTGATTGAAGAGCGGCCGCAGAATACTTATCCACGAATAAGTGCTCGGTTATTCGACTCTTTGTGTTGCAGTCAGTGCTTCTGAAGCCGCCACTATTCCAACATTTACGGTCCGCCTCTGTCAATCCGGTTACCTGCCCAAAGTGATGCAAGTAAGTGTAACTCGCTGAGACAAGATACGTTGCAGAGCTTGCGCTGCTCTATGCAGGGCTGCTGTTTCATAAGGTTGGGGACGAAGCTTGAAAGGCGCAGTTTCTTTGTCAGGCCACCCAAACTATGTAACAAAGATGGGATTATCTATGGAGATTCTCAGTCATCCAGGTCATGGTTGTCCCAAAGGTGCTTTTTCAAGAGGCTACTGGACTTTTTAGTTTTTTTTCCTTCAGCTCTGAAGAAGCTTCTTGAATGAGAAGCAAAATGTCTTCAACGAAAAAAACAACAACAGAAAGTCCAGTTGCCTCTTGAAAAAGTCCCTTTGGGACAAAAATGGGATTTCAATCCTGGGGTAAAGGGCTACCCTGTTCCTTTTTAAGTATGTGATATGAACATAGTAAAGAGTCGGTTAGAATCTGGTGTCTAAAAATAAATAAACAGAATAAACAAATGCCTTCAGTAGGACTGTCACAGAATAGGCAGAATGTAACAATAGATTGTATTATCGACAACTTGCAACCCTAGATTTTCTGCATGAGCAATATAAACTAAGCATAATTTCACAGAAAATCTACATTGACATTGCCCAATAATGCCTCATATTCAGAACTTCACATCACCTTTCTTTCACTAATTCACCTACTCTGTCATAAGCAGCAAAATCAGTCTTTTCTATGTGAATATGTATAGTTATAAATATATGAATTCACAGCCTGAAACCATTTATTTAAAACAACTTTTTTCAAAGTTACTCAACACTCATATTCCTTTCTGATATTGGGACCCCAATGGCCCAATCAGTTTTCTCTATTGTCTCATCTTATGCCAAAGGTGCTTTTTCAAGAGGCAACTGGACTTTCTGTTTTTTCTTTGAAGACGCTTTGCTTCTCATCCAAGAAGCTTCTTCAACTTTCGCATCTTGTCTCAACCTATCCATTCATGTATTCTAACCAAATATTATCCCCACCCCACCATTACTCCATTCGTTCAGAGCATTGTATAGTTTTCCACTACATTTCTGATTCTTTCATTCCATTGCACTCTGGAGCATAATTTATATTAATCACCAACCCATAAATTCATTCGCTCACATATGACATAATCTAGATCAACATTTTTCAATCTTGATATCTTAGAATTGCCACGGTTATGAGTCACTGATTGCAGTAATATCAATTCATAATTTCTGATTTTTATTTTTCTGCCTTTAAGTCAATTTCTGATTCCTAGCAATTGCTTGAACTGGTTCCTGCAGTTTTCTTGGCACTTTTTCAAAAGTGGTTTGCCCTAGTATTGTCCCTGGATTTGGGAGATGGTGACTGGCCCAAGGTCACTCAGTTAACTTTTTTGCCCATGATTAGAGTAGAATTCATGGTCTCCCAGTTTCTTGCCCGATGCCTTAATTACTATGAAAAACTGGCTCTCTAATTTCTGACATATCATTAGTCTTTTTCATTCATAATTAAGCCTATACTTTTGCTTTCCTAAATTCATTCCACAATATCTGGCAATTTCATTGGAATTTATGGCATTCTTTTCCTTCTTATTGGTTTTCTCTTTTTCCTTTCAGTCCTTGATTTATATTTTTTACTATTTACTTGAAAATTCTTTTCAGATTTTCTCTATTCCATCATCATGCCGCTCTAAATATTGATCTCTCTGCCATCATGGAGTTGGACAATTGATAATTCATATGCTTTTTTTTTAGAAAGGTAGACTTTGTCACACCCATTCTACATGTAGCTTTCCTCATTGGGGCTTGTCACTCTGAGCATATTTTGCTGGCATGCCGCAAGTGCAACCAGAGTACCAAAAACTTTATCCATAGGGGAAGAAGATATATGCGTTATGCAGCTTTGTGTATTCTTTTTAAGACAAAAGGAGTAAAGTTTGATAAATTTGCCTATTTTTGTGACCCATTAGTTTTAATAGGAGGAAACAAAAATCACATTATGGATGAACAATTTTATTTCAGAAATTTTTTAGGAAATTAAGTTTTCTATATTGAAGCAATTCCACAGCTATATAAAATCTGGAGGCAATCACCATCACATATTGCTGTGATTCCCAACATATAGGAATAGTCTCAACATCTTGTAAGGTGAATTAACCCATAAATATATTTGGGAGTGCATTTAATTATCAGTATAATAAAATTGAACAAAATTTCTATACAACCAGACTACATCCCAGGAGCTAGTTTTCTATAACTCAGAAATCAAATGGAGTGCTGTTACCTTCCCACCAAAGTGGCCCCTATTTTTCTACTTGCATTTTTTACATACTTTCGAACTGCTAGGTTGGCAGAAGCTGGGACAAGTAATGGGAGCTCATTCCATTACCCAGCACTAGGGATTTGAACCGCTGAACTGTCGACCTTCTGATCGACAAGTTCAGCGTCTTAGCCTTGGGCGTTTAATCATGCTGGCCAAATGACCATGGAGACATCTTTGGACAGCACTGGCTCTTCAGCTTTGAAACGGAGATTAGCACCATCCCCTAGAGTTGGGAACAACTAGAACATATGTGCGATGGGAATCTTTACCTTTATGTAAAAGTAGCAATATAGTTGATATGTTAAAATATAATTAAAATGCACTTTTGCCATATCCTAATGCTGCAAAGCTTTTTATTATATATCCTGGAATTTGATCAAAGGATGCTTATAGTGAATTAATAGATTGATTATTTTTGGAAACCTCAATTTTGTGAAGAGAATTCTGTTTACCTGTCTTCTTTTTATAGGGAAATATATACAGTTTTCTATCATTAAAAACAACACTTAATTATTCTGAAAAGTCTGATAGTTTAGGGAATAGTAATAGCTGATTATTTTTATACCATACTCTTTCCTATTAACTAACAGAACCCACATCAACATAAGTAAATAATAGTACAAAAGATAATGCGTGTCTATTTTCTCTGTTATGTTAATATGAAAATTGAAACACTGTATTGCGAAAGGAAAATGGATCTCATTTTTAAGAAGTTCTACCTTAAGAAGTACCGTTTTCTAAATTGACACCATTAAAACTATAAATTGTTTCAAAGTGGTTTATTGCCATTAGAACATTCATGTTGTAATTTCTCCCCATAGGGAAGGTTTACTGCCCCAAAGTTGTTGAAGTAAAATAACATTATTAAAGACAATCTATATATATCATTACAATTGTTGATAAAAATCACAACAAACAGGTCAAATTAAACCAATAATCTTTCAAAAGTATTCATTCCTATATGCAGGCTTTTCTTTGTGTGTGTTAATAATATGTGTTAATAATATGGCATCTGCAGATGAATGCAAAAATAGAATCATACTATTTTATTTGTTACAAATAAGAGTGTTCAATTGGGCTCTTAAAGAAGATGTTACTTACATCACAATGGGATGTAGCACTGTACCTACTTTATTCACAGATACATGTGCTTTTAAAACATCTGGGCACTGAATGTATCATTTGCAGAATGCTTACATACAAAGAAAAGATGGTATAGTTTACCAAACCATGTAGTTGGGGACACAGAGCTTAATCTTGTACTCTAATATAAAATATACAGTAACTATGAGTCAGTTTGTTCGAATCCACTCATAAATTAATTGGAACTTCACTGCCTTTTTAATTTTTTGATAAAAATAAGTTTAGCTTCAAATGTCAAATATACACATTAGCAGATGTAACATATTCAAACTATTAGACTCACAAGAGTTAATTGAGGAATCCATTTTCAACTGCTTATATGGAGAATTGATAATGGATCTTGAATTTTTAAAAAATGCTGCTCTTGAATAGTTTACATTGCTCCAATGCACTTAAAGAGGCAGAATCACAATTTCAATACATTTGTACATCTGACTGCAAAATAACCAACATTCAGTTTCCAAATCACATTTTATTAATCAATTATGCCTTTTCTTGTTTTTCTTAAATTAGCAGGTTTTTTATTTCAGAAAAGTTGGTACATATTTGAGTTGAATAATTTTGTAATATTGAAAAAATTCTTATAAGGCAGAAAAATGATCTAATTTATGAACACCTGTGCAGTATTTTGTATAAGGGAAGCTTAAAAAGTTAAAAATGATACTGAATGCTAGCATTAATATTTCCATGATGGCGCTGATGCAAAAAAGAGAGAGAGAGAGATGATGACAAAGTCCTTCCTTGCTTATATTCTGTGAAGAGCAGCAGCACCTTTTCAATTTTTCTCCATGAATCAAATATGCAATTATTTTTTTGCCATACTGTCAGGAGGAATAAAAATAGAAGGAAAAGAAAAGGATTAATTCATTGACACAGAAGTTAGAGTCAAGATCATGTAAGAAATATAAAAATATTTGAACGTTTTAGTTATACCCTTAATGTAAAAGAAATAATCACAAAGTACTCACTTATGTTTGATCAACCTTCCTCCTTGAATAAGTTGTGCAATTTCATTAGTGAAATGACAAGCAAACAACAACCAGTTCCTGGGTTGCACCTTATAGGCAAACCTCATAAAAGTCAAAGAATAGCAAGTAAGTG